AAGGGTTATATACTCGTTGTGGGTGTTATCAAAACATAACATCAGGTTAGAGTAATATCCTAACACTAAACTGGATATCACTCTCAAAAGTAGGTGCTCTCTGTCCTCCTCCTCCCTCTCTCCAGCCGCCACGGCAACATCATGTGGAATTACCGGGAATGTACTCGATCGGCGTTAATGTAGCCGTTGAGAGTGTAATCAGAATCCTAAAATCTGCTTAAATATCACTCTAAACTCAATTGGACCTTAGTCCATGAGCGAGTGATTTTCCCATACTCTACTCCATCTTGCCCCCCACCCCCTCCAGCTGCCACGGCATCATGATGTGAAATGACCAAGATATGCTCAGTCGGGGGAGACGGTCAATCAATCGTCAGCTAATGAGGTCACGTCGCTCACGCGACGGGCAGCATCGCACGCAGCGGCTGGTGCGGACATTTTTGTATGGCTTTGGCTTAACGGTCTTTGTCCATAAGCTACTGGTGGGGTTAGAGAGCTTACAAGACCAAAGTTCCGGACATCAGTGAGCCAACAATCGTCACCTGAATATCTGCGCAGTTATTTAAGCCTCACTGTCCAGAGCTTAAGTCACGTCAAGGTTGTCCTTCTCAACATAATTTGACCCCTTTGCTTGGATCTTGACTGATACCTTTTTCGAGAAGCCAGCGTCACAAAAGACTTGTTTTGCAGCAAGCCCATGGAGAGTCCCCTACACGTACTCCATTTGGAAACGAGAGGGTGTCGGGTGCTGGATTGGCTAGCATATTCCTCAGACCTCATCGTTATCGAAAACGGAGGGGGATAGTGGTTAAATGCTTCTGCGCCATTAAAGAAAACGTAGTACCCCAAGTGAGCGAATGAGTTGCTGAAATTAGCTTCTTAGGAAAAGTTTGACGAAACAGGTATTGGGAGCCTGGTCCAGAACATGCCAAACAAAATGTTTGATTTTATCAAGATCTTTGATAGGCCTACCAGCCTTTGATTTCAAAGATATTTTTGTTGTTCGAAAAATGTCCTCATACTTTTGATACAGGGAAAGCAGGAGAAAGTTTTTTCATTAATTAAAAGAATTTAAAGCTGCAGCTGTAAGAAATGAGAAAATCTAGAAATCGAATGGTGGCGATCTCATGGTGCAGAAATCAACAGTTTCTCAGGAGAGGAAGAATTTTAGTCACATATTAGCTATTTCAGAAAGTTCTGTCGTTTTCTGCCACTCCAGTTTTGGATGCTTAATTTCTCTTTAAATCTGGGAAAGCTGCAATTATTGTCGATAACATTTTGAAGAGCTTTTCCAGCTCTATTCAATCCTTAGCTCAAGTTTGTCCTAAAATATTTTCTTATAGCTTTTCAAAGCTTTGAATGCGGTATACACGATGAGCAAGTTGGCATGACTTTTTCTCTAGCTTTAAATAGACCTGAAAGTGGCAGGAACAGTTAAAAATATTAACGATGCTCCGGGCCTAGATTTGCAATAAATGTGCTCAGAAGCAGTAGTTAAAAAATTCATTGTAACGAAGGCGAGAGCCTTGAATATGATGAGAGTAGTGGTCGGATATCGCACGGTGTCTCCGGTTAGCCAAAAGTTCTGATTGAAGCACTCGTGCGTATGACCATAGAGGAGGTTCTGCCCAACTTGGGCGCATATGGTTTGCACAGCCAACTATACGGAAGAAGCTAGAAAGTCCAAAAACTTTGATAGGGGCGTACCGCGACAAATCACCAGTTTGGAGGGTCGTCCATCAAATTGTCGCTTGTTTTATGTGATGAAAGCGACTCGATTCTCTACAGATTCGCGACGTATAATAAAGATCATATTCTTCCCTATAGTTCACGAAGGTTTGCTGAACAGATCGACGGCGATGAAGCAAGCTCTACAAAGTTTGCAGAAGTTAAACTGTGCTGGAGGAGGGTTGTGGCAGATTTCATGGGGTCACCGGCTGGCCATGTTCTTCAGTTTCAGGTGGAACTGTTACAGTGGAGAATCAGTCTTTATATTAATTAAGTCAAAAATCATCAAAAACTTTACGGCATGGGTCCAACATTCCTCATTATAAAGGAACGCACACATCCCTGAAAGGTGTCTTGAACGCACATCGCACGGCCAACCCTTCACAAGTTGTACCAGCTGAACTTCAGAGTGGTTCTGCAAAAATCTTACTTAGTATACCTTTTTACTATCTAATGTCAAACTTCCGACGATCTCGATAGCTTCCCTGAAGAGAAATATGTACATCAAAACCCAACATGATGCCAAAACGACCTTCCCTCAGTTCATCGCCTCCAGAGGTCCAGCATTCCAAACAAACGTACCCATTTAAACGGCTTCTTTATAAAAAAAAGTTCACGCTTTTGAATGGTTTTTTCACTCAACTCGAGAGGTTCTGTCTAAGCCGAGATACGTGCATTTAAAATTTGGGGTTGGAAAACGATAGAACTTCTGAAACGCCTAATACTCTTGGTACGCACTGTAGCCATGTGAGCCTGTCAATCATGGCATCAACATCACGAAGCGTAGACCTTGAAGCTCCCCAGTTCTGTAGGTGATACGGACGGAACTTCGTAGAGACCGACATGCACACTTACAAACCGACACTTGCGGTTTAACCAAGTGACCTCAAATATTATACGGTCAAACGGACGTGTAGATAACTGACTAAGGAGAAGAGCTACAGAATTTAAAGGGAGAGAATATGCCGAATATGAATAAATTACAATCAGACCAAAGTAAAATAAAGGCAGATGTATGGCGAACAGAGGTATTCAAGACTGAGATTTTGAGACAAAGATGAAAAAAGTTAGCCACTGAGGAGATATAGTCCACTGTGTTGCGGACTATGTGGTTTATAGAGCTTCTTCTGTCCTACTTACACTTCATAGTAGCTGGTGCACAATTAGCTGAAAAGCGTTGTCCAAAAACCATTACGCGAATGTCTGAAGTGCTTGCAACAATGCTGTATCTTTCTTTAACGATAAATGGTTCGAACAATAACTGGGACTGCTGATCCACCCATAATGCGTAGTGTGGTGTGATGTGGGGTTACGGACACCACACCTCAGTCGTCGACTTCGACGACAGCATGACTGCACAAGATTATAACTTCAGGCCTCGCCGCGCCAGCGGCGAGGCTGGACGCTGCGCGCGCGCTTCGCGCGCAGGCGAAGGGAGGCTACCCCCACGTGCCGCCCCATCCTACGCGAGGCCAACCCGACATGCGTGCCATCCTCCACCTTCTACATAAACGGCGCTCAGTGTAATGCCCGACACATTTTCTCGTCGTTGAGGGGGCGCAGAGAAAACGAGAAGTGCAATACGGGCACGCATGGAAAATCGGTGACACGTGACATTGCGCACTCGAGTGGCAACGCCCCTACGTCGAAATGTTACGCTATACCGCCTGTGTTCCTAAACTTATTATCTTTTCATTTCACTGAAAACAAGGCTGTGACAACCATACTAGCTACGAAATTATTAGGTACCGGATATATCAGTGTCGTTTTTTCACCACGAGTTTTGGACCACCAATATTCTAATTCAGAATCCGGGGAGTGAAACAGCATATCTACCGAATGGCTCATTAGTACTTTCCCATTTACCGATATGAGTAGAAACCTCGTAACATTAAAGCTACGAATTTTTTGAGTCGAAAAATAGAGGCAGATCGGTATCGACATCATATGGCCCTTTCACTTGCTAAAGTCAGGCCTGGACAAAAGAAGTATACATTCAGTTAGAGTAGAGTCTACAATGTACCTAGGAAAAGTTAAAACTTACCAGCTCAATTGGGCAATTTTTCCGGAGTCTTCTTTCCTTATAGGGTCAGGAACGCACCCTTTTTTTGCACACGTAAGTACCAGATGAGCACATCCATTAGAATTTCTTGTGCAGTCAACTTCGTTAGAGCGTTTGTGCATCATCTATCAGTCACTGCTAAGGTGTCCTACCCTTTCAGCACAAGGTTGGTGCAGCTCCGTCTCGACTGATTTAAGTAGGGCCACCTTTTCAACGACGATTCCGGATATCACTTCAAAGAATTCACTGTCTTTTTAGAAAACTGTGAAAAGATGAGCATTTAATTTCGTAGGTTTGGTTGGCGGAAGCATGAACTTCGAAGCATTAGGTACACACATGCGAATTTGCACACTGGATCCAGGGATTTTCAAAAAAAAGTAAGCAAATTGTGGGAAAGTTAAATTGTGAACTAATAATAGAAAACAATAAGCAACATATTTTGCAGTGTTAATGACCAAAGAGGACTTTCTGACATATTGATTTTCCATGGTAATCGGACCCAAAACTTTCAACTCAGAAAAGCGACACTAACCATAAGATATCCGGTACCTAATACCATAATCCCCTGGATGGTATTAGCAAATTGTTTTGATAAAGTCGGCGAATAAGGAGCAGTGCACTCCACATCACTTCAAGCCACACATTGCACGCATAGGCTTGCGGCGATTACTTGGATCCTTGATAAAAATTCATTCTTGTCGAAATGTTCTAAGCAGAAATAAATAGCGAATTAAAACAAAGGATCACACTGTTGCACTTCAACTTTGGTCTCGGAATCTGGGAAAGATGGCCATCGCTCCGTCGCGCATCTGCTCTTGAGAACTAATCTTTTAAGACTTGCAAGGGCGGTAGGTGTGGACAACACCTCCAACCTACCCCAGCTTGGGTTTTCCCCAGCTTGGGTTGGGTTATGTCTCAACCCTAAGAAATATTTAGAAAAAGTGATATACAGGATGATTCTCCAATAACCTTCTACCGTCTCATCCCCAAATTTTCGATATCGTGCAGCTAGGGAGTGTTTTTACATGCATTTATAATCCGAACACGGGCGGTTGCCTAATCTCATCACCATAGTAGGAAGAAATTCAAATGAGGTGTGGTTTTTACGTTTATTATTTAGAACACACCGTCTGTGATTTCCTCTGTACGGCAGAGCCCACTGCTCAGTGAACGAAGTTACAGCGGGCATAATGGAACGAGCTCCAATATAATGACAACTTCATCAAGGTATGCTACCCTACTTTATGACATTTCTTATATTTTAATATTGAAGTCCGCTTGTATTCGTTTTAAAATGGGTGTCACAATTTCAAAGTTTGTACACACTTGTACTGACACCATTCAATGGAGGATTTACGATAAAGTCGAAGTTAGAAGAAGGGAAAACTACCTAGTGGAAAGACAGGTGGGCTCGTGGATTCTCTTGAGGTGCTGACCGACACGCAACTCGCCTTGAAGGGTATGCCCCTGACGATCTAGCATTGCCTGCCCCGCGCCCCTGACGCTGTGACACACCCACTTGCTCGCCGTCTGAGTCTCAAGACTGTACAAAGAGAGCGTTAGCGTTAAAGATGGTAGCAGGTAAATCCGTGGACTACATTATCTACAACGCTGCACTGTTATGACTATTGGGTGTCGTGAAGAAATTTTACTGAAGTAAAAAAATTGTCGAAATTTCTGCTATGTCGTATAGTTCTGCAACGGCCATTATTTCAATTTTTCGACGCTAGATTTCAGCAAAATGAAATACTGCTTGTAAATTTTTCAATGAAGGTTTTTTATATGCTCAATCGGATGATGTAAGCAATTTTTGCGCCTACTCTTTCGCAACTCCAGAAGCCCGAAATTTGGGGTATGTCGTATAGTTTTGCAACGGAGTGTATTAGGATGGCCAGATTGAAATGTCGTTTTCGATCCTCAGTTATTTTCATTATAAAAACAATCATGAAGCAATGCAACCTAAACCACCTCCTTCACCTGTGTCACATGATCATTACCTTTCGTTACGCAAAGCATGGATGCCTACCGCGTAGAACTACTTCTGGTTCGATCCGAAGAAGTTAGGCACTTAAATTTTGACGTCTTCGCGGTTATTGAATCAGTTTGCTGCTAGGGAGTGTTGTGCTGAACTCGGTCAGTGATAGTCGGACGGCGCAGTCCTGGTCTATATGGCGCTGGAGGAAGGGCGCCCCAGCTTAACTCCTCGATTTCTTGTTGCGTGATTCTCACAACATGTGGTCTTCCATTATGGTGTAATACTTTTACATTAGCCGAATTCACCCCTTGACGATCCATAGTAGTCAAGGGGTGAATTCGGAATCTATAGTAGTCAATCCATAGTAGTCCATTCTTATATGTACTATTCCACCACACCGTAGCACGACTTTTTTCAGTGCATGTCCGGTTTCAGAGAGGACCTCAGCTGCCCATCAGCCGCCAACCACGGTCATCTTCTCGCATTGTTATTGGGAAATATCTCTTCGTAAAAGGCGGTCAACATGAAGTCAAGAACCTTTTTCTCTTGAAGTTATGCAATGAAGTTCTAGTATTGGCAACCAACCAATTTCCTATCCTGAAAGGTTAACAGTCGCACGTGGGAACTTTCAAATTTTTCTATAGACACAACTGCATCTTCATGCAAGTTTCGTGCGATTTGTCGAGGGCCCAATCGTTAGCTTTTTTATTTCTCCGTCATCTAGAGCTAGAGGTCGAAATCCACAACCTTTGTCCTCAGGTCCTTCACCTCAGTCATGGAAGAGCTGAAACCATATTTGAAAGCGCATCAGACACTAAGTGTTACTGTTCAATGTTTTGTACACAATGAGCAAATCTTTCTGCCCGTCTTTCCACTGGCTAATCTCCCCTTCTTCGACCTTCGACCTTATCGTGAAATCTTCATGTGAAATTCTGCACGATGCTCGAAGAAATACTAGCTATGACGTGATTTGGGCCAAATTTTGGCGCTTCCACGTTTTTGGACCATTTCCACGACAGTTGCCCTTTTCGATCGCTTAGGTATGGAAAAGAGATAATATTCATAAAATTTCGTCGGGAAAAACGTAGGGTTAAATTTGATTTTACGGAATATTATAAATGAAGGTGAAAAGCGCTTGCTTTCTAAAATTGATAAACCTTTTCTTATTGTTTAAATCTAACTTTATATGTATCTTTTCACTATACAATCCTCTTCAACCTTTTTAGGTGGGATTTTTTGGAACATCTGAGATATTTTCATCATCACGCGGAGCAATATGATTTCTGCGCTGCGCGACAACGTGCATCCTACGGCCAACAGTCAATTATTTTTGGGGAAGGAGGAACATAAAGCTCTGAGAACAACATTTGCCGCACTGAATAGGTGTAGAGATGAAGTAGTGCAACGTAGAAATATACATAAAATTATTACAAGGAAGAGACAATCAGGGGATTTTGTAATGAACTGGGCTGCCACTCATGAGGAGCGTTTCGTACTTGACTCTCTCTGAATATACCTTTATTTAGAGATCAGTCTCCATATCAGCGATCAGCGATTAAACTCACCTCTTTCAACACCTCAGACAAGGGAGGAGTGTACGGCTCTGTGCCTTCGCAATGGGCCACTCAACGTTCTTCACCGGGACAACCGAGCCAACTGTTATACAACTCCAATAAGGTGGTGATCGAGTAGAATTATGCTTAGTTCTGCAGTTGGTTCTTGTAAACTTGCCCGATTAGTACAATACGGACGAACTATTGCCTCCTTTCATCTCCCTCTTCTCGCATTTGGCTCCTTCTTTCATTGTTTCACACTGTCCCATCCATCACATGTGCGTGTATTGAGTAATTGTTGAACGCTTGCACAATGTACCTGAGCCAATGCTCTAACCTCTAACCACAGCCACCTTATAGTATTTATACTAACTACAGCATTACAGCCTACTATGTCGGCCTCGTCATCGCAGCAAGAACAGTGTTTCACACCGACGTCGACCCTCACCAGCCAGGGATCGACGAGTAACTATGATGGTCAAACTCCGACGCCTGGATCACCACAGAAAAACGCTCCACTTTATGGTAGAACCACATCGAACGGCGGTGGTGATGGAGTCTACGGTACACTCGGTAATGACGCCACATACGCTAACCGTACCCTTCAAAAGCCATTACGGTCTGTCTCAGCCGGCTCCACTATTGTACGCCATACAGTGAAAACTGTTGGTCAAAGAAACGACGATTCTGCTAACTTCAGCCTTACATCGTCGAACGGTAGCTCCGACGTCAACAAAACTAGTAATGATTTTGCCACCAGCATTGTATGAAATGCATAAAACAGATAATCTCATCATTTTGTATATTTCCTCTTTGACGGTAGCATAGTCTGAAGTTTTATTAGTTATGAATCACTAACTTGCACAACAAATGATGCTTCACCGCTTGACCGCGTGCTGAGAAGAGCCACTTTGACACAGCTCTGAACTGTTGATGTACCGTCAGTGGCAATGGAAGAAAGCTTACCTCATCTATGTCTTTTGTTACTCTTTCCATTATCAACACCCGCTTTCGCTATCATCCAGATGTAAGGTGCAAACGATGGAGTGCATGTGCGTGCGTGAGTAACGCGAATGGTGGTCGCAAGCCGCCCACCAACCACGTTGCAGCACATGCCAAATTATTAACATGGATTAATTCTGAGTATAACCCCTCTCATGTTCTTTTTTGAAGCAACCTTAGACGTTTACATTAGTAGAAACGACATGTGTTTTAACTAACTGCATATGTGCATGTTCTACTGCCGGGTACACACTTTCATTACAGCCAATTTAATGTCATCAGCCATTACAAAGCAATCAGATTAACTGTTGACATACTCGCCTAACTGTTGTAGACATACTCGCCATGTTGTCATACGCACATGTGTCCTATTTCTATGTTCTTCCTTTTGCTTTCTCTCATCATTTCGTGGATGACTTCAACCTTTGTATCGGTGCTCTCGTTCCATCCGTTATGTATACCACATTATTGACATCACTGTTGTTGAATTCGAGTCCTCTACTGATTGACTCATTTTGTTCTGAGTGTTACGTTTATATTCCTATTGGAAGACAAATAAAAGAGCAGTCGCTCTGGAGCAGCTCGTGTCATTCACGGGAGTGAGTCAACGCTTTGAAATCACTCAAATCATTTGTTAGCTTATTGATTGTTTATTATGAATAATCCATGTAGGTGCAGTTGAGCCTACGCCTTGCCTGAACTTTATATTGCTGTTTACACTATACTATAGTTTATACTAGTTTGAATGGAGAACGTAACAATCGAAAAATAAGGTTTTAGGAGTCGCACCCTATGTGTGGGGAGATAATTTACGACGGTCGATTTTGGTGCTACGGTAGCCTTTATTCGTTTGTTAGAGTAAGGTAGATCTGATTTGATCTGATTGCATGCTATACCTGAAATTCTGTGGCTTAAAGGGTCCTACAAAGTGAGCAGCAATCAAGTTCTTAATTTTGTGGATTAATATAAGGCTTTTGTTGTAAGGATGTGGGACAAACGAAAAGTATAACAGATCACTTTGAAGTCGTTCGCAAAAGTTCAAATTCATCACGCCCGGCTTGTCATTGAATAGTAATAGTGAATAGGCAGAAAAAGTGTATGAGATATCATATAATATTCGGAAGCTGTTCTACAGAAGTTAGGCTGTTGGCCGAAACCTTTTTTGCATCCGCTTCATCGTGTTGCACGTCGCTACACACGGTAGGAAGTGCGAAGGCTCACACGAACGACACCGGTAACATATTTCCAGCGTGAATTCGATCTGAGTAACTTTTCGTTTTTTAATCACTTCCTTTCATTAGGGCTAGCTAAGTGCTAAAATAAAATGGGTTCTAGTTAGGCACTATTTTTCCCGGTCTTTGGGACACTCTAGAAGCAAAAGTTTCGAATTTTTCAGCAAAATTTTCAATTTTAACGCATGCCCCGCTCACTGCGGGCGTAGTTTCTCATGTTCAGAATATTGCCCTTTTAGAGCGACTCATTCTCTACCCACACCAATTTTGACCCGCCTTCCGTAGGTGATTTTTGAAGCAAAAATTAGAAACGTTTGAGAGACACTTGCGAATTTTAGGGGAGCGAACAGACAAACAAACTCTGGTTTATATAATGGTATGATAGTTCACCGTGGGAAACTCCACAAATCCCTGGTGACGCACACCACTAGCATTTGGTTTCATTCCTTCGCCACGCTTTATCCACTATTCCCAGCCTCTGGGCCCTACACTACCACTACGCTCCACCCACCAATGGCAAACAACCTGACTTCCGTTCATGGGGTCAATGCACTTTTTTCTCGGTACCGAGGACTTCTTGGATTCTTGAACAAAGTTTCTTGAGTGACCCTACCTTCTTTGGTCCTGCGCCTCCCAGCAATAGCAGTTGAGTCCTTTCTGTTTGCGGACTCAACTCACTATTTCCCGATCACCAGGACTTCTTGGAACCGAGTTATGAATATTCGTCGCTAACTACGCCCACGTTGATGCATACCCCACCCACCAATAACAGTTGGGATCCCTTCCGTTTTGAACTCAATTTACTTTTTTCTCAGTCCACAGAACTTCTTGGATCCTAGTTACAGTTTCGTGGATAACTCCGCCTCCTTTGGTCTTGCGCGCAGGCGTGCGTTGAGGAATCCTCGACAGGTCACGAGGGGGGGGGGGGGAGGGTCGTATTGGCCCGCTCGGAGCGATCGGGCCAGATTAATGTGGTAGGATCATCGTCGGAGGACAAACATCAAGGATCGAGTAGATGCCAGGCCAGAACATTTCCAATAACAATTGATTCCGCCCACACAGAATCATTGTGATTTAGAGGTGTCCGCTTAGCAATTTTTAGTTACTTCAGTGATTTATCACCACACAAGTCAAAGAATCCGAAATTTGCACGTTTTCCAAGGGATGTTTTATCTTTCAAGCGAGTCCTCAAATCCAAAGAGATGTGAAGCACACGGCGCATCTCAGAGTGGGCCTAGTTGGTTGCACGCGCTTCAGCTACGGCTCTCTGGATAAAGATTCTCGATTCAGGAAAAATCAAGATGCTGAAAGGGTTCATGGGAAATTACACGGAGGAGTTCAACATTCAACAAGAATGCAGTTTTCATCGTCAAATTCACAAGCATGTTATCGCTAAAGTTGAGACACGCTGAACAATTTTACACTTTTTGGAGAGGGAAAGCACGTAGATTCCTGTCCATATTCAGGTCGGAGGGAGAGGGTGTGCTCGATTTTGGAACAGATTAGCGCACAATGAATGATATACTTGTTATGACGCTTATATTTTTTGCATATGGTATCTCCTCACCTTCTCAGTCCTCGAGACTATACATAGGATAGGTGGAAGAGGGTTCGAGTGGGGGGGGGGGACAAGAGAATCGCTTAATTACTCCGGAGCCTTTCCATCCCTAGGCTGTGTTTTCAATTCTTACAGCATCTTAGATCGCCATTACGCACGCCGTATTCTAAATCAGGCACACTTCTGGATCAGTAGTTTCTAACCCCTAATGAAATGAGAAATTGTGAGTGACCTCAAGACATTCAGAACGAGTGATTTTTCAATAGCTTCAGCCCTTATTCGGAAGCTCTAATCTTCTAGTTTCTAATTAGCCTTAGACAGTCGCAAAAAGTTGAATACAAAGAAAGTTATAAATGCTTTAATGTCGGAAACTCACGCTTTTTCAAAAATCGGACCCCAAACCCCCCAAAAACGGAACGACGGGACTACTTTTCGAAAGAATGAACGCTGGAAAATTTTCAGGTGCTTGTTTGAAAGCGCTAATCTCTAGCTTCTAATTAACCTTAGACCTTTGCAAAAAGTTAATTATGAAGAAAGTTATGAATGTTTGAATGTCGAAAACAAAAAAACGGAACGACGTGACGATTTTTTCAAATGTTGAACATCCGCAACATTTCAAATGCTTTTTTAAAAGAAAACTATTTAAATTTTTAAAATCTTGGTGTCCGGTTCCATGAGAGCGCCGACGAACGAAGATATAAGTTTTCAAATAAGGACGTAAATTACTACTGCATATCCAGTTTTCCGGCTTATACAAAAAGGAGAACGAAAAGGAGAAACGGGAACCAAGACTCGAGGGATAAAAAAAATGAAAACCAAGCCTCACTTCTGCCTGATTCCAACTCCAGCCTACCCATGATCGAGCTTTAAATGAAACAATGATCTCTTTCGTTCGAAAATTCGGAAGTTTTTCGATTTCCTCCATGAAATGGAGAATAAAATATGGCGTGTGAAGAAAATATTGTGTTATTTTCGGGATTTCTTCAGGAATGAAAAAAAGAAGCCATGTACACACTTCAACTTTATTGGACAAAGACGTTGACACACACAGAAATGCACCGTAACACTAAAAAACACACATGTCCAATAGGGGGGTCGCACTGACACCCCTTGAAATGGAGGGGGTCGCAAAAAATTTGGAATTTGCGCAACGCAGGGTTGACCCTAGGCACTGGTGGATAGTGTGCCATTACGACATCATCTGATATGCTGATCGGCAGGTTGGTTTTGCACAGTCAGGTTGAGAGTTTGATCCTCAGAGTATTTGAGCAGCAGAGTCACTTCTTCTTACTATGTTTGCCTCATGCATTTCAAGGAACCACTTCCACCTTTCAAAAGATATGCACGATTGACCAGTGTCGTTTCGAAACCCTAGTTAGAAGAAGAAGAACTCTTGTGACGTTAACCATACTAGCGGCCGTCTGAAGCCAAAAGCCCTGTCGTCTCTACCAAGAATCGAAATTTATCCACAAGTTATAGTAGCAGATGATAAGAAACAATATGAATATGTGTATTGAACGACAAGAGATGAATGACACGAATGAAATGATAGAAAGAAATGATAGAATAGAAATGTGAAATTTGTGGAAAACTCAACCGAATCAACAAAAAAAATCACCAAGATATATATGATCAACACTGCTTGGCAATGGTCTCCGAAGGCTTAAATTGTTGATTACAATATTGAAACAAACTAATCACAAGAGCGCAGGAGAATGAACCAAAAGCCCACGCCATGGGTCTGCGCGTAAAATTTGTGCCGTATAGTGGATTCAAAACGTTCAACTCACTCCTCTTGTCTGTGCTCTCTTGCCTAAATAGTGCCGAGACGTACTCGAATCGGAGTTGCAAGGACTATAGGCACTCCACACAGGACAGTGAAGACGAGAGCAAAAAATTAAGCGCTCTGAACTGCAAGTGTCAAATACTGCGAATTTCGAATAGAGACGTGTGCAGACCGTGGCGTTTACATTTGCCT